AGAAGTCTGTTTTCGTGTGTCTAAAAGGCCTAAAAAAAAAAGTCAGGCAATATATCTAATTTTATCAGTGTCAATTTAAAAACTCGTGTATCGGTTGATCTCTACTTAGCACCAGCTGGTTTCTTATGTTTGCAAGGGTAAGCAGACGTCTCTGTGGCTGATATCTCCAAAACTCACATCAAAACATTCTCCTGCAGGCCAGAGGAAAAGCATAATTGCTAACTTGATTTGGTGGTGAACGGTCCCTTTGATTTTTTTCCCAGTTAACAAACCCTGTAACTATCTGGGACTGAGTCGAACATAACCAAATTACAGGATTGTTTACTGTGTCTTCAGTGTCAGGGATGCCCCGAGAGCAGCATCTGTTGAAATTTCATGCCAGAGCAGCGAAACACAAACAGTTTTTTGATTGTCTCGGAACATTTTCCGACTTCCCTACTCTGACGCTGACTCTCATCTTCAAGCTTCTTGTTTCCTGCTGCTGATATAAATCTTTGGCTAATAAATATATCCCGTCATTCAAAGAAAGAAAGAAAATAAGACTCAATCGTTTCCTTAAAAAAATCTTGGCGCTGCAGTTTTGAACAAATATTAGTAACACAGGAGGAAAAACTGTTTGTTTGGGACTGTTTTCAGTTGCTAATTTGTTGTTGCTGTGAGTATTTATAGCAGCATCAGCAGATTTACAGTGCCCTCGTTCATTGTAATGCAGGAACTTGTTAGAGGTGTTAACGCTGATGTGTTTTATATAGTTTCTGTGCGAATAATGGAGCTGTGTGGCACAGAGGAATGAGCTCAAGCTTCGGATACGCAGCGCTGAGGCTTTCTGTTGGTTTTGGTCTTTTCCTTGGATTTATTTATAGAAGCATATTGAATTTGACTGGACTTATCCTTTAATTATGCTTTGATTTACAAACTTTCCTGGTGGAAAATAGATAATTGAATATGAAAAATCTGACCCAGAAATGGTTTGTACATTTAGAAAATGGCACATCTTACATGGTTGCAGCAATAAATCATTAATGGCATCCTGCAGGGAGCTGAGTGTGGCGTGACCCTTGACCTGATTAATCAGAACGTGGGGGCGGGTTCGACTGAGAGTGAGGACAGTGAAACTGAAAGTAAAAGCTGAGAACAGCGAGCGACGCTTGAAATGACATTTAAAAGCAAAACAAACGTTCTGAGAGTGAAAATAAGTTGTTATACTGCAAATATGTGGCGCACATTCTGTGAAATGTTGGCTCAATGTTTCTCTTTCCATGTCTTTCACAGTGTGATGGCACAGATCTCACTCCCAAGATCCAGGAGCTGAAGTTCCAGTGCATAGTGTTTCTAAACATTCCCAGGTAGGTGATCATGGAGTGGCCACAATAGCGCAAATCGATGGTTCCCAGAAATTTCTTCACCTGAACTTAGTCAGGCACTGTCTGGGTTTCTGAATATTAATGATTAGCTTCATAGCTTCAGCACAAAGGGGTGGGGTGTAATGGTGTGGTGGATTTTTTCCATTCTTTGTGACCCTTATTAGCCTATCCAAGTCTTGTTGCTGACCACGCTGATTCCTACTTATCCTCCGATGGTTGCTTCCAGCAGGATGACACGTGGTGTCAAACTGGTTTATTGAACGTGCACACAGATGGCCTCCACAGTCCCATCTCAGTCCAACAGAGCACCTTTAGTAGTGGTGGAACAGGAAATTCTCATCATGGATGTGCAGCCCACAAATGTGGAGCAACTGTGTGATACTATCATGCCAACATGGATGTTTCCAGGACGTTGTTGAGTCTGTGGCATGAAGAATTAAGGCAGCTAAAGCTGTGACATAGATGTGTTGTGTCTCTGAACATCTGTGAGGGGGCGGTACTTATTTTCCTGTCACTCAGTGCTGCTGCAGTGTCAGTTCTGTCTCGATGCCTTTTGTGAACCAGACAGATTTCAGAGCCTTTCCTTCCCAGCAGAGGTCTGGCTATTTTTTTTTTCGAAGAAATTCACAGCGGACAGACTCTGAGCGTCATCAGTCAGTCATTGGTAAATTTCGTAGCAATTTTGTGATCTGTGGCTCAGTCAGTCTTTTTGAAAACAGTGTTGCTGCGTTGTTTCTTTGTGAATTTCTTGGTATTTGCTCTGCTAAGAACAAATAAAAACCAAAGAAAAAAAGTTCACCGTTATTGAAAAACGTGTAAATAATGGGGCATCTGTAGGTTTTAATTTCTGTCTAACAATTCAGTGTGTGACAAAGCATGTTAAATAGCATCTAGAAAACTGTGAGACACCACAACTCTCTTGTGACTACCTGACTAATTAAATTCTTGAAGTGGGCTGAAGGTAGAGGCGGGAGGTGTAATTCAGGTTTTATGCTCGCTGAAGCTGTTGACTTCAGTCCTCCCACGCAGCCTGGAGTTAAAATACTCCTCAGTCAATAAAAACAAATTTCATACCTGTTCGGTCAGAGGAGAGTCTGCGCCGTCACTGGATAAAGATGAATCAGCCAGAAAAGCACTTGATTTGATATTTGAGTTTAACCTTTGCTAAAAAACATCAGCAGTGAGCGTGTCCTCAACAGGACGCCACAGGGGGAGCCCAAATGACATTTAAGGTGTTTTTGAGACTCTGTTGTTGCATGTTTGTGTTAACACGTGTGCAGATACTGTGCCGGCACCATGCCATGGGGAAACACGGGAGACCATCGAGACTTTGAACCTCAGCGGCATGACGACGGCTGCATCGAGGTTATCGGCTTCACCATGGCCTCGCTGGTAAGAATTTCAAAAAAGAAGCAGCGCAACAAAGAGAAAACCACATCTGAAAACGTCTCTGTTGTCCACTAGGCAGCACTGCAGGTTGGAGGTCACGGAGAGAGACTTCACCAGTGCAGAGAGGTCGTCCTCACTACCTACAAGACTGTACCTGTTCAGGTAATATTAGAGTGACAGAGTGTAATATAACAACCTCATACCTGCAGGATTCAAAGCAAGAGCAGCTAGAGAATAATCAGAGTATAAGAAAACAACAAACACGTAGAATTCCTCAGAATAAACACAAACTGTTGTAGTAAATTTACAGTTTTATTTAGGAGTGTCTAACATAAGGCCCGGGGGCCAGAATCGACCCAGCAAATACTCCAATCTGGCCCACTGGACAGCTTTGGAAAATGTGAAGGAGGGCATAAATGTTGACCTTTTTAGAAGTTTTACAGCTTTTCCTTTTGATAAAGACCCTTCACCACCAAAGCTGTTTATGCTGCATTAATTAAGTAATAGATAAACAATTAAATGACAATTTTTTTTGATATACCTAGTTTAGCTTGTATTAAAAACATTAATTAATAAAAACTTTGAAATTGAAATTGTACGTGACAGCAAACTTTAGGTCCGTGCTTCTAAGACTTCCTCTGGTACAAAAACCTGGATAAAGTTCCCACTTCCCCATCTCACGTTTAATTGATCAGTAACAATTAAAAACGATCGACTTCAGGTGAGATTAATTCCAGCACAGTCAGTCCTGTTTCCCACCATGAAGATCAACCTTTTTAAATTCCATATGTTTCCGGTGATGCACCTCACAGTTTGACAAACCTTTGAGATGATTGACTGATTTTTAATTTTTCTCTCTTAAATATTTGATTCAATTCTTCGTTTAGCTCTGAGTAACTCTGCAGGGGACAATATTTCATTATTCATTCTTTATTTCATTATTATTTATTCATATCTATTAATGATATTTAAAACGTAACTACAGTGCTAGCTGTAATATAAACAGAGAAGCAACAACGTTGAGAAACAAGAAAATGGTTAAACAGTTTTTCTCAAATGGGTACACGAGAACCTCTCGGGGTAGTTTAGAGTACTGCATTTTTTTAAAGTAACAGTCATGCAGAAATTATGAAGTCATTCAGCTGCAGTAAATGCAATGAGAAGTGCGAGTGTATTCAAATTGGCTATATATTTAATTTTATTTGTGATATTTAATGACAAACAGACAAAAGTGAGCCAGATGTTTGTGTGCAGTGACTCTGATCAAAAGCTCAGATAGGAGAAAGAGATGAGAGCTGTTAAAACCCTCTGTTTGTGATGATCAGGGGCTCAGTGTGAGATAAAGAAGGATTATTTTGAGCTGAATCGTGCAATGCCGCTCTAGTAGAGTCCGCTATACTTTGCTGCGGTTTGTGAGATTTATTTAACCTGACATTTCTTTTTATCAGGCCAGGTCAAATAAACATTACACAAGCTATTACTAAATTGAAGACAGCTCAAAATATCTCCAAGAGCCCAACCAAACCTTCCAACCCAACCCCAGTAATGACCATTTAAAAAAAAGAAAAAGAAGGTTGAGCTCATATAAAGTCATCAGGGAAGTGTTTACTGAGGTCACAGAGCAAGTGAGTTGAGGGCCGTTTTCATTTCCATAGAAGTGGAGGTCTCTTTCCAAACAAGAGTCACCCTCTGCTGGTCCTTAGAAAGA